GAAGATAAAGATAAACTTTAAGCCATCCAAGTTAGTTAGGCCACAAACTAACCAAAACAGCTGAGGCTCCCCTGTGGAACTGTGGTTTATTAACAAGCCACAGATTCAGGGCTCAAACACAACCTTACACACATTGTAACATCAGTATCCCAATCATGCTTTTACACCAAGGTGAAAGGAATTGTGTAACTCTGCAGTTTTCTTGGGAACGCAGCACAAAGACAGATGTCCCCAAATAAAACTTTTTTTACATTTTTCTTTTTTACTTTTTTTACCTTGTTCCTTTTTTTTTTTTTACTTTTTTACTTTCCTGTCTTGCTCAACCAAGATCAAACCAGGTTTGATTGTGCTTAGGTTTCCCCCCTCCCCCCATATCAGCTCGGTGCTGTCACTTAAAAGAGTTTTAATGTGGATTTAAGGAAATTTCTCTCGGTGTTTCTCCATCTTGGCCATTTGCAAGATGTGTGGACTTCAATTCCCAGAATTCCCCAGCCAGCTGTGCTGGCTGGGGAATCCTGGGAGTTGAAGTCCATATCTTCAAGCTGGCAAGTTTAAGAAACACTTAAATTCTACATCATTATCCTGGTCAACCTAGCATCCTGATACTAGGGTCCGATTCCTTGGGATTTTTCCATAAACCCAGAATTAATAGCCAGGAGCTTTCAGATGCTCAATTCACAGCCCTGAACTGTGCAATTATTCCTTTTTTTTTTTTTTTTTTTTTGACGAAAAGCTAAAGAGGCAGCAGTTTTTATCAGCTTCCTGGAAACCTTGTTAGGAACCGGCAGAGCAAGCAGTATTTAATTTTGGCCATCAAGGCTATCATTAAAAGAGGCAGAAAGTGGGGGGGAGGCACTGAAAGTAAAGAGAAAATAACATTTGCAGCCTTCTTGCTTTCGGCCTGCGCAGGTAACTGGTGTACTGATTAACTAACCAGCTCTTTAGAGGCTTCACACAAACAGGCTAGTAAGAGTGTGGCTGAACAATTCCAGCACAGGAATCGTCAATCAATCAATCTTTTGAAGTTGGGACACTTTGTGTCCACAGCAAAAAAACTGAACACAACCTCACTTTCTCTTTCCAGCCCTCCCCCCTCAAAAACAAAGAAGCGACCTCCTCCTCTACTCACAAACAGCTAAACCATGGTTTACAGACGGCGGCTGAGCAATGCCAGCACAGGGATAATAAATAACAAATAAATAAAAACACTTTGTGTCAACAGCCAAGAAACTGACCACAACCTCACTTTCTCTTTCCAGCCCCCCCCTCAAAAACAAAGAAGCGACCCCCCCTTCTCTACTCACAAACAGCTAAACCATGGTTTACAGACCATGGCTGAGCAATTCCAGCACAGGGATAATAAATAACAAATAAATAAAAACACTTTGTGTCAACAGCCAAGAAACTGAACACAACCTCACTTTCTCTTTCCAGCCCCCCCCAAAAAACAAAGAAGCGACCCCCTCCTCTCCCCCAAACAGGTTGAGCCAAACCATGGTTTACAGACCGCGGCTGAGCAATTATAAGAAACGAACAAGCAAATAAAACACTCTGTGCCAACCGCAAAGAAACTCAACGCAACCTCACTTTCTCTTTCCAGCCCCCCCACGCAAAAAAAAAAAAAAAAACCAACCCAGGAAGCGACTCCAATCTCCTTCGAAGCAAGCAGAACATTTCCCAAGAGGACCCTGTACAGTACTACAACTCCCATCCGGCCAGCTGGGAAGCATGGGCGTCGAAATCCCCTGGTGCAGCGGGAACCCTCGGCTCTCTCTCTCTTTCTCTCTCTCTCTCTCTCCACCCCCGCCACCCCGGGTCTTCCCTTGCAGACGTTCCCTGACGCCCCCCCCCAAAAAAAACCTCGGGAAAGCCACCACCGGCGCTCCTTTTGCAACCGGGCGCCCGCGGGCGCCACCTCGGGAGCTCCGCTAGAAGTCGGGGGCGGTGGGAAAAGAAAAAAAAACCCCACCCAAATCCCAGGGGCAATTCTTAAAAAGGGGTCCCCGACGCTCCTGTGCGCCCCCCCTTCGCCCCCCACCCCCCAAAACACACGCCCGGCCCTCGTCCGCTGCAGGCACAGGAGAACCCCGGGGGGGGGCTGGCTGGCTGGCTGCCCCCCCCAGTCACTCGCCCCCCCCGAAGGGCGCGGGGGGCTCGCAGACACCCCCCGGGGGGGGCTAAACCCGGCCAAGCGCCCCCCTCCCCGGGCCTGCCGCTTCTCCCCCGCGTGGCTGAAAACTCCCGCGACCTTCCGCGGGGGCGAAAGCCGCTTACCTGGGGCGCCGAGCCGGACCGCGCTTGGCCAAGCTGGGGTGGGCAAGGCAGGCGGCTTGGAGCGGGGGGGGGGAAAGGCCGGCCGGCCGGCGGCAGCGAGGGATCCAGCCGAGGCAGGTGGAGCGGGGTCGGGGTCGAGGACGGCAGCTCCACTCGGGACCGACGGGGCTGCCGGAGGCGCGGGGCGGGCTGCGCGTCCGGCCGCTTCTCCCAGCGAGGAAGGGAAGCCGGGAGGCGGAGCTCCCCGCAGGAGGGAGCCGCCCAGCGACGCAGCCGGGCGGGAGCCGGCTCCCCGCCTTGGCCGGGCGAGGCTCCGGCCCCGCGGGCGGGAGGGTCCAGGCGGGACCCGCGGAGGAGCAGCCGGGACGGGGGAAAGGGCTACCTAGGTTCCCCCCCCCCCGGAGCAGCAGGCGGGGGTGGAGGGGTGAGAGACCCCGGCCCGGGCTCTTTTCCCACCCGCCAGGAGGGAGTCTTCCCGCATCTTGGTCGTGCGAAGGGGCGGAGGAGGCGACACGCGCGTCTTTGCCGAGCCTGGTGGCCTTTCCAGGGCTCGCACGTGCTCCTAACCCAAGGAGCGGAGTAAACCCCCCCCCCAGTGAATAAAAGCTGGTCTTGGGGATGGGAGAGATCTGGGAAGGGGTGTATATGTGTCAAGAAAGGGGGGGGGGAATGAATAGATGGTAGGAGAGAGAGAGAGAGAAAGAAAGAGGGCGAGAGAGAGGGAGGGATAAGAGAAATAGGTGAAGACAGAGAAAATAGAACTACTACAGAGAAAGAAAGAGAGGATAAATTCATGATTGATAGGAAAGAGAGAAGAGCAGGACAGAAGGAGAAATAGTGAATAGATAAGAGAGAGAGGATACAAAGAAATAGGCGATAAATAGATACAGAAGAGTGAACGAGAAGAGAAAAATAGAGAGAGAAATAGAAAAAGGAAGAGAGAAATAGAGGAGAAATGAGATTGAGAGAGAGGAGAAATAGATAGATGATAGGAGAGAGGGACAGGAGAAATAGGTGAAGAGGGAAAATAGAACTAGATAGATAGATAGATAGATAGATAGATAGATAGATAGATAGATAGATAGATAGATAGATAGATAGATAGATAGATAGAATACTGGTTGATCAATGGATGGATGAACACACACATAGGCGATAGATAGATAGATAGAGATGAGAGAGAGAGATAGATAGGTACTGGTTGATCAATGGATGGATAAACACACATAGGCAATAGATAGATAGATAGAGAGAGAGATAGAGAGATAGATAGAGAGATAGATAAAGATCAGTGGTTCTCAATCTTTTTAGACCGGCGACCCCGGTCATGAGCAGGTGGCGCGCATGCGCGGCGGCGCCCCCTGCGGGGCATGCATGCGCGGCAGTGCCCCCTGCGGAGCACGCATGCACGGCGGCGCCCGTGCGGCACGCATGCGCGGCGGCGCCCCTGCACGGTGCGCATGCGCGGCGGTGCCCCCATGCGCCGCCCCATGCGCCGGCTGAGAAAAAAATGGCGGACTGCGTTGTTTGGCGATCCCCATGAAATGGTCGTTCGACCCCAAATGGGGTCGCGACCCACAGGTTGAGAACCGCTGATAAAGATAAAAGAGGAAAAATAGAGCTAGCTAGAAAGAGAAATGAGTCAACTGATAATAGATAAGAGAGCAAGAGAGGAGAAAAAGAAAAAGAAGAGATAGGAGAAATAAAGGAGAAATGAAGATAGACAGATAGACTATATCTGTATGTGTTTTTGTGCACAAGGCTCAACACACACCTACTGCCTGTGTATGTATAAACTATTGGCACTCCTGCCTCTTGGGCCAAAGATTAACACAAGCCAGGACTGTATTCAGTAATCTCCTTTACAAAATGTAATAAGTGCTCCCTCCCTCCCTCCCCCAGCCATCAATTGGATTTAAGGACGTGTGTGTGTGTGTGTGTGTGTGTGTGTGTGCGCGCGCCCGCCCCGCATGAGCCAGGAAAAATGCGGAAGGGCTGAGATTTGCATAAGGTACATTGGGAGAGATGTAATGATCATAAATAAAAGTGGATATAAATCACACTTTATGTGGAATAAGGATTTGCACACACAGACACACACAGAAACCACTTTTACCAAGCATATCAAGATGCAGCTCTTCCATTAGGTCAGTGGTTCTCAACCTGTGGGTCGGGACCCCATTTGGGGCCGAACGACCATTTCACGGGGGTCGCCAAACAACGCAGTCCGCCATTTTTTCCCCCTTTTCCTTAGCTGTGCTACTCCCTTTTATTCTATTGGCTTTTGAAAGCCAATAGAATAGACTCTCTTGAATACAGTCTAATTCTATTGGCTTTCAAAAGCCAATAGGAATTGTCCAGGCTGTCTCTGCCCTGCTAAGCCCGCCAAAAGTCCCAGTCTGCAAACGGTGCTGCACCCGTTGAGTAGTCCTCGACTTACGACCGGTTGAGTAGTCCTCGACTTACGACCGGTTGGGGGTCGCGGCATTAAAAAGGTTGAGAATCACTGCATTAGGTGTTTTGGCTTTTCCTAACTGCTTTTAATTGTGTGAGTTTTCTAAAAAAAAAAAAAAGCCAATTTGTTTTTACCTGGGAAATCTAGACGTTTTGGTCCAAGCTGATTTCTCCTGCATGCAATAAACCGAGATCAAGCCTGCTCCCTATTTATTCCAGCCACATTACAGATAAGTCCTTTACTTACGACCACGACTGAGTCCAAAATTTCTGCTGCTAAGTGAGACTATTGTGACATCCCCTCAACTCCACTGAAGATGTTACCTAAGCCTGGTAACGAAATTTTTGGAAACCAACCCAGAAGCTCGGAGAACGAACCTCCACCTTCATCCTACACCCAAACTACAGATATTCGTCACTATTGCAAAAGGTTACAAGTCAATCACTGCCTGTATGAATTTAATAATAAATATTCTGATAAGAATCAGTGGTGGGATTCAAATAGGGGAACCACTGGTTCTCTGTGTGGATGCCGCTTCCGGAAGTCCGTTCTGGACCCGGGTAACAAAAAATTAGCTACTGTTTCTGCCGAAGTGGTGCGAACCGGCTGAATCCCATCACTGTATCTCTGTCTCTGTCTCTGTCTCTCTCTCTCATCTAATCTATTCATTATTTGTCTATCTATCTATCTATCTATCTATCTATCTATCTATCTATCTATCTATCTATCTATCTATCTAATCATTCATCTATCTAATCATCTATCTATCTACCTACCTATCATCTAATCTATTATCTGTATCTATCTATCTATCTATCTATCTATCTATCTATCTATCTATCTAATCTATTCATTATCTCTGTCTTGTCTAGATCTATCTATCTATCTATCTATCTATCTATCATCTTCTAATCTATCATCTAATCTATTCATTATCTCTGTCTCGTCTATATCTATCTAATCATTCATCTATCTAATCATCTATCTACCTGTCATCTCATCTATTCATTATCTGTCTTGTCTATATCTAATCATTCATATATCTAATTATTTATCTATGATCTATCTATCTCTCTATCATCTAATCTATTCATTATCTGTATCTATCTCTATCTAATCATTCATCTATCTAATCATCTATCTATCTATCTATCATCTAATCCAGTGGTTCTCAACCTTTCTAATGCCGCGACCCCATAATACAGTTCCCCATGTTGTGGTGACCCCCCAACCACTTATATATCACCGGGTGCCAGGGCCGTGGCCAAAGAAAAGGGGAAAAAAATGGTGGACAGCCTTGTTTGGCGACCCCCGTGAAATGGTCGTTTGACCCCAAATGGGGTCCCGACCCACAGGTTGAGAACCACTGATCTAATCTATTTATTATCTCTATCTATCTATCTATCTATCTATCTATCTATCTATCTATCTATCTATCTATCATCTAATCTATTCACTATCTGTCTTGTCTAGATCTATCTATCATTTTCTAATCTATCATCTAATCTATTCATTATCTCTGTCTCGTCTATATCTATCTAATCATCATCTATCTAATCATCTATCTATCTACCTGTCATCTAATCTATTATCTGTCTTGTCTATATCTAATCATTCATATATCTAATTATTTATCTATGATCTATCTCTCTATCATCTAATCTATTCATTATCTCTATCTATATTTATCATCTAATCCATTCATTATCTCTTGTCTATCTATCTATCTATCTATCTATCTATCTATCTATCTATCTATCATCTATCTATCTCTATCATCTAATCCATTCATTATCTCTTTCTTGTCTGTCTATCTATCTATCTATCTATCTACCTACCTACCTACCTACCTACCTACCTACCTACCTACCTACCTACCTACCTACCTACAATCGTGGGATTCAGATAGGTGAAACACGGGTTCTCTGTGTGGATGCTGCTTCCGGAAGTCCATTCTGGGCCTGGGCAACAAAAAATTAGCTACCGGTTTTGCTGAACTGGTGCAAACCGGCTGAATCCCACCCCTGATAAGAATATTAAGATATCGTACCACTGGGTGTGAAAGTGCCAGGGAGAGAAGCAGGGAGACACCGATTCACCCTCATCCTTGTGACCGTGAACGCTCACACTTCCTTTGATTAAGTTACCTCCCCTCTCTTCAGGCTACCCTACGGGGTTGTCACCGTGGGAAAAAAATGACAGGCAGGAACGCCCAGTTCTTCGCTTCGAGGAAAAGCCAGCTCATAAATCAATCACACAAACGACGGCGCACACTTTCCCACGCTGGCCTGGAAGTCCACTAAGTGAGGCCAACAAAAGCCAAAACCGAAAGGTGCATCAGAAAATCCCAAAGGTGCTTTTTTTTTTTTTTTCCAGGAGGTCACTGGACTTTCTCGTTTTTCTTTGAAGACGTTTCGCTTCTCCTCCCCGAAGCTTCCTCGGTTCTGAAGAAGCTTCAAAAGTGAACACTAATCACACCTTCAGCGGAGATCTGAGAAGAACCCACAACTGATTTCGGGCAGCATAGGATTCACGCACGTTCGTTCCTCTTTTTTCCCTCTGCACAAAGATCTATCCCAACACAAAAAAAAACCCCTGAATTTATCTACAGGTAGTCCTCGACTTACAACAATTTATTTAGCGTCCGTTCGGTTACAACCGCACCGCAAAAAGTGACTTAGGACCGTTTTTCACCCTTACGACCGTCGCAGCCTCCCCGCGGTCACGCGATTAAAATTCAGACGCTTGGCAACCGACCCACATTTATGACG